TGATAAACCAAACTACTACTACCTATGGTAAAAATAATGACGTCAAGATCGTTCTTGAAGCCTTACACGTGATGTCCTCTCAACGATCCTTGACGTTCCCCACACACTCCTTTGCTTTTCCCTTTTTAGAACCCCCGACGCCCCGTATCATGCACCAGCACTCCCACGTCACTCCTGTTTATCTTTTTCCCTGTTTCCTTTTTCTTGTTTCCTTTTCGTGGCTTTTCTCTTTACTCATCATTTTTGTTATTCCTTGCTTCTTTCCTGGCCCTCACTACTTTTACCTTCAGCACATTCCACTTTACTTCTTATGTTACCCATTCACACCTTTACATTGACACAGCACAACAGCACCACGATTGCACCACGATTGCACCCTGATGCCACACGTCATCGTCAAGCACCATGTTAACGATTTTATCATCATCATCATCATTCCCTCGGTTGTTTCCGAATGCACCATGATCATGTTTATTATTCAGACACACTATCGTTGTTATCCGACACACTATATGTAAAATCAGACAAGCTAATCGATATGAACACACACACACACACACACACACGCACACACACACACACACACACACACACACACACGTGAATGCCATCTTTATCATTGTCGTTATCATTGTATCTCTCAATCTAGTATAAATTAACCCAATTGTTAAATAAAGAATCAGCAGCTTTGAAGTGAATTGAAAGATTGGATTGTTTCCATTGCTGGTCGCTGACTGTTGTGCGAATTAGAAACCCCTTTTTCCTTTAGACTCTTCATTGATACTCTCGATTGTACCCTTGAACCCCTCCCTTTGATTATCTTTTCGTGTGATCATTGCAGGTTGTTATTACAGTCTACTTTGGTCATTGTTCATTTTACTTTTATTTGATATTCATTGTATTTCTATTTGCCGGTGGAGTCTTTCTATCTTTTACACACACAAACCCTTTACTTACCTCCCCGGATATTCGTATATTACCTTTAGCACCGCACGTGTCAGCATTGACACGTTCGTGTGCGGTTTTGTCGGCCTCGATTCCTTAACAAGGAAGGTGAAATCACGTGTGCAGCTTGAAGACCCAACTTGGATCATGTGACTCAGGATCCTGAAGCGTCAACCAAGATCACATGATTTGAGTCACATAATTTGAGCGAGCCCTTCACCTTCATCCGGCCCATCTTTCATTTACATGTCGTTCCTTTCTTTCCCTTTTGATTCATTTTCTATTATGTTCCTTATCATTCCTGTCACTTATGGTAAACACGTCTTTCCTTCTTTTACTGTCGATTCCATCATTTTCTAGAACCATAGTATAAGCATCCCTGTCATTTCCATACATCGAGTATATATATATGCAAAGTATCTATTCAATAAGCGAGGAGGTTTTTGTCGAATTCTTTTCTTCTTTTACGTTTTCCCCTTTTCTCTCTCTCTTTTGTTCTTTATTGGAGGTCTCTCTTCTCATTTCGTTGTCGTTTTGATTGAGTTTCCTCGCGTTTCTCAATCATTCGGATCATCATTATTGTTTCCATCTGTTTCTTTTCTCTTCCCAACAACCATTACAACAAGACCAAGTACCACACGTGTCAGCATGACACGGCCCGTGGTGGTATATAAGTTGGTGGCCTGCCTGGTTTGGAAGGTTGTTGAAATGGCATGAAATGAGTATCAAGACGTAGCGGAGTGATCAAGGATGATGGTGATGAAGACGAGACGTCGATATGGAGGCTCATTGTGGAGCAATTTCAAGTAGAAGTAGTTGGCGGATTCATTGGTCGGAGTGAAGTGGTAGCTTGCAGCCCATCAGCAGCTCCCTTCACCTCCCTTACACATGGCCAATGTTTTTGCATGAATGTGAAACCTTTCTGTGGCTGATCCCTTGCCGGTAAAAGGGACATCAAAATAAACTTTTTATCGTCATCGTTTTCTTTCTCTAATTTTGTGGTTGCCTGGTATCAGAACGACGCTGTCAGAACGGTACAGGAACGCATTATTATCCATTTTATTGTATACATCTGTCAAAGGACTACCGAGCTATAAGAATCCCCCTTTCCCTTCTTTACATTGTATTTCTACCACATCTGGCGTATCACACGTATCATTTTGGTGGAGAAGCTGGGCGACAAACAATTACAGCGCAAACAACAACATTTATTTAAGCATTTACTATACGTACGACTATGCCACAAGATCAAGATAGTGGTGCAACGAATATGACAATGTACAAACCTGAGGCATCGTTGAGCAAGTTCCTGGCGAAGCCCAAACACTTTAAGGGCGATGAAGATGAAAATCCGTTACGTTGGCTGAAGAGGATTAATCGGATTCGCAAGGGTGTTCCAATGGGCGATCAACAATGTCTTACCATGGCTGGATCCTATTTGACAGGTGCTGCTGAATCTTGATGGGAAATGGTGGAGGATCGTGTGTCGACATGGGCACAATTTGAAGAACAATTTCAAGCTCGTTTCGCTGGCAAGGATAAGCAACACATCTGGTGGAACAAGGTCGAAAGTCGTCAACAAATGACTGGTGAAACTGTTGATGAGGTGGCGAATGATCTCAAGGAGTACTTCGAGTTGTTGGAGGTGGTGGATGATGGAATTCGCATCCGACATTTGTTGAAGGCCTTGCGTGAAACTATTTCCTATGAGTTGGAACAAAGAGCAACGTTGTCTACTTACGAGGAGGTGGTGCGTGAAGCTCGCAAATTGGAAATGGTGCAAAACAAATATGGTCGTGGTGGCTCAAGTTCGTTGGGTGTATCATCAAGTGTGGGCCGTAACCATGTTGGATCCGAGATCTCTCCATCAGAGAGCGCAAGTGCAAATGTTGCTCAAGGAAGTCTTTCGTCCCAAATCAGTGCATTGGCCAATGAAATACAAGCCTTGAAGATTAACATGGTTGATGTACGACGTGGAAGATCATTGCGCTGTTGGGGTTGTGGCGAGGAAGGACATAAACGTGATCAATGTCCCAATCCTACCCAAGTTGCTGATTCGGGAAAAGACAATGGACGCCATTGAAGGAGGTCAGTGGTGTCCCGAATGATGTAAATCCTCCAAACAAGAATGCCGATGTCAACTGGTTACATGGAGTGAAGGTGTATGCTCAAAAACGTGGTCGTAATCAGGTGTCGGAAAATGGCAGTGCGGTGGCAGCTGTTGAAGCAAACAAGAAACGTGGGCGTACGAATGAGGTGACTAATGGTGGTGCACAAGTTGCTGGTGGCTCGAATGGTGCGATCGATGGTGGCAATATCATACATGGCAATGCTGGTGCGAATGGTGTTCCTGTGCAGGCGGCACAACAAGTGGAGGCAATGGATGTGGATAAGGGTAAACCTTCTGAGGAAAAAGGCTCCAAGAGGAAACGCCAAGTGCGTAGATTGTCAGTGTCATTGCCGCAAAAAGATGTATGGGAAAGGTTGACAAATGTCGATGCAGGATTGTCCATGGCAGATTGGGTGGCTATGTCTCGGCATGCTGCTAAAGATTTGCAAGATGGCATTCGCTATCTACATGGACGTAGACCAAAAGGAGCTGTGGGTGTGTCTACGCAAAAACAATCTTCAAAGACAAAAGTGCCTGTGAACTATGTCGATTTGCATGAGCATGATATGACCGATTCATCCGATGATTGGGCATATTCCGATGATGAAATAGGTACCTTTAATTCTGATGACAGTGAAGCTGGATCGGATGTATTGGGATGGGTTGATGGCGATGATGGTGGATACGACTCCGATGACACACATTACGATTATCCATACAACTTGGAGAAGATGCGTGAAAGTGCTCCATTGCAGGCTCCAATCACTATCAATGGGCATATGGTGCATGCTGTGTTCGACTCGGGTGCTGGTGTATCCGTCATTAGCAAGGGCTTGGCTGAAAAGGTTGGCTTGGTGTCGAATGGTGACCAGTTGGTGGTGGAAGCTTTTGGCGGTAACGCTTTGCCTGCTGGTGGCATTTCGGTGGCGGTGCCAGTACGTGCTGCTGGTAAATTGCGTCCTGAACACATGACAATCCAAGATGTCAAGGGTGATGTGTGTCTATTGGGTACATCATGGCATCGTCAGTATGGTGTGCGTGTGGATCATCAACATGGAACCATTCACATACCTACACGCCATGGCCAGAGCACGGTGTTATTACAAGGGCGTTATCCAAGATCGGATCAAGAACAAGATAATGTCGTATATGTCGTATTCTGGAGTCTGGGTTTGATAGGTAAAACCTAACCCAACCCAGATGACCCCTGTCAATGTTTATTTAGGAGCACAGACAGCACAAATAAAGATCTTTCTCCCTTTTTCGAGTCTCAAAGGATTTATCCTTGTTATCATTGCTATCAGCTTTATCACTGTTTTCATATCAAATTCCACATTTTTTCCTTTGAATACTCTTCAACAACAACATCAACATCAACATGTCTGCTTCTCCTGCTTCTGCTGCTTCGTCTCCTGCTGCTTCGCCTGCTGCTACTACCAACAACAACAACAACCATGTGGGCGACAACAATGGAACCCCTGTCACCACCCCTACCAACAACAACAACGCCACGGACCCCACCACCAATGATGGCCCTGCTCCTATGGAAGGCGTTGAACCCACTGGAGCTCTTGCTTCCAAGTATGTGGACCCTCTTGTTTTGGCTCGAGCTGCTCTCGATAAAAAAGAGAAGCAATTGGCAAGCTTGATCATTCAAGAAGCCCAACTTGAAGTTGAAGAACCAGTTCCCGAGGAAAAGTTGGCTGCTGTTAGGCAAAAAATGGATGCTTTGCATGTGGAGATCGAGAGGAAGAAAAAGAGCATTGCTCTCCTCACTCCTGCTGCTCCTGCCACCACCACCAGTTCTCGTAAGCACATTACGATGAATCTTGTCCCTCGTTTTGTGGTCAAGGGGGTTAACGAATCTCCTGAGGACAAGCAAGTGTTTCCGAATGTTGATGCTTTTTTGCTCAGCATCAAGAAACTGCTTCGTACCCACAAGTACAATTTGGACACTGAGTGGGATGAGGTGTTGCACTGTGCTTTCCCTGCCGATCTTGAGAAGTGGTATTCAGACACTTTAAGCGGTAAGAAACGCAATTGGAATGATGTTTGCCATAGAGTTCGTGTTCGTTTTGTGTCGCGTGACAACAAGGCACGCAAAGCAATGGAGGTGTTCAAGTGCGCTATGCGCGATGGTGAGACAACCCAGCGGTATGGTACTCGTTACCAGAACCTGGTGATTGATGCCGGCTTGACCAATTGCGATGTGTTGGCCATGTTGTTTCTCTTGTCTTTGCCTGAAGATATACAAGAAAGGGTGCTCATGTCGTTTTATGCTCGTCCGGGTAATGAGGATCGCTTGCCTGACAACCTTGAAGAGGTGATCAAGCTTGCCGATTCCGTATCAATTACGAGAAAACGCACGCACAATGACGCTGGTTCCAGTTCCTCGCATCAAAAGAAGAATAAGTCTTCGAAGCAGGCTGGCAAGGACACGTCTATTTTTTGTATTCATTGCAACAAGGATGGCAATCATGTGTCTGAGAGGTGCTACAAGTTGGATAAACCAATTGAGGGCCCTAAATGCCACTATGCTCATCATCCCTACAAGCCTGGTCATGCTTGTCATGCTTCTCGTGAGGAGAAGGCCAAGCTTCGTGCTAAGGGTGAGTTGCCACCACCAAGACGCCACAACCATTCTTCTCGCCGCGGTGAGAGCAACGTGAAGGTAAACACCATGCTGCATGATTCAAATGACATGGATTTATCTGACGATTTTGTTCATCCTGCCGATTCAGCAATCAACAACAATGACTCCTTCTCGCCCATCCCACTGAACGAATTGCAAGGTGTGGATGAAATGCTCGCAAGGCAATCGTTAGGTAAGTTGTTGTTTGCTGCTCAATTGAATGACAATCCATATCTCATGAAAACACCCATCTTGGTACAGAATAAGCGACTCCTCGGCCTAGTCGATACTGGCGCGGAGATTTCTGTTATCAATAAAACATTGTGTGATGCCAACAATTGGTCGTATACACCTGTGGATGGGAAGATCATGTATGCTGGAAAGAATGACGTTGTCAAGCGTGTGGGTATTACAGAGCCTCTTCAGCTACAATACAACAACCGGCAATTTACACATCGATTTGAGGTTATGGATTTGGAACAATACAATCTTATTTTGGGCTTCGATATCCTTCCTAAATTGGGTATCTCTTTGCAAGGTGTAGCTGTCAAATGGGATGATCAGCAAGATGACGTGCAAGATCCTTCGGTGCACGATGCATACAAAAAGCTGGTTCCCAATGCTTCGCCTTTTGGCACACCTGATGAGCAAGCTCAATTCACACAGGCTATAAAGCCATTATTGGATGCTAACACGCGTATTCCTAAATGGTCGTTCTGCAACATACCTGAGTCTATTATTCACTTGGATCTTACGCAGCAAGGTGTCACATCCTATCAACGACAATATACTTTGCCATACGCTTTACGTCCTGAGATCGATGCTACGATTCAAAAGTGGCTCGATGATGGTGTCATTGTGAGAGCTCGTATCAATTCCTCATGGAACAGCCCATTGACATTAGCTGACAAGAAGGACTCGCATGGTAATAAAGTGGGTAAGCGTCTTTGTTTGGACCCACGACACATCAATCGTTATTTGAAGGATGATCGTTATCCGATTCCTACTATTAAGGAGATCTTCAATGACTTGGGTGGAGCGAAAGTTTTTACCACGCTTGATCTTACCAGTGCTTTTCATCGGTTTAAGATTGCAGAGGCTGACCGTCACATCACCACTTTCACGCACAAGGGACAACAATTTATGTTCCGTGGATGCCCATTCGGTTTGAAGCCTATCTCTTCCAAGTTTCAACGAGTCATGTATATTGTTTTTAACGACATGCCTTTTGTACGCACGTTTGTGGATGACATTATTATCTTTTCGAAAGATTTGTTCTCGCACACCAAACACGTGCAATATGCGATCAAGGCTCTTACACAAGCCAACCTCATTTTGAACCCGGCAAAGTGTCATTTTGCACAACAGTCGGTGTATCTACTTGGTTTTTGTGTCTCCGAGCATGGTATATCTCTTGATCCAAGAAAGGTAGTAAATGCTATTGATTGGCCCCAACCTCGTACTGGTAAGGATATCCAGCGGTTCATGGGCTTTGTGAATTACTTCAGTGACCATATTCCTCATATGGCCGAGATCTCTGCACCACTCAACAGGCTACGCAATGCCGGTTTACTTAAGGATTTGTGGACTGAGGAGCAAACGAAAGCATTGAACGCTCTTAAGCAAGCCTTAGCAAAGAATGTACTTTTACATTTCCCTGACTTTGATCAACCCTTTTATGTGGCCACGGATGCATCGAATTATGGCATTGGCGCTGTGTTGTTTCAAAAGATAAAGGGCAAGAATTGCTATGTCTCTTTTATGGCACGTGCTTTGAACCCCAGTGAGCGTAAATACTCCACCACTAAACGTGAACTCTTGGGTATGGTATACGCCCTTCAAAAGTTCCATCCTTTTCTTTGGCTACGCCCATTCACACTTTACACGGACCACAAGGCTCTCACTTATTTGTTCACCCAAAAGCTTGCCAACCCCATGATGCTCAATTGGTTTGATATCTTGTTGAAATACACTTTCGACGTGATCCATGTCCCGGGTATTGAGAACGTGTTGCCAGATGATCTCTCACGTTTGTTCACTCCCGATGAACTCTTGGAGGGGGATAATCAACCATCAAATGCAATCAAAATGGGTACGATAAAATCGAGCAAAGATAGACTTGTATTCCAAATACGAGTAATTGACAAACAGCCTAGCGATGTGGTTACTCCACCTGATGATCACCGCACGGAGGAACTTGAACGTGCACACTTGATTATTGGTCATGGAGGTGCTGAACATTTAGTACGTTACTTACGACGTGATGGCTTGGCATGGACCAACATGCTACAAGATGCAGTAAAGTTGGTAAGCAAATGTCCACAATGCCAGAAGACCAACATAGCCAAGAGAGGCTACAATCCGCTACGTCCCATATACGCATACTTGCCTGGTGACCATTGGGCTATTGACTTGGCAACCTTCAATCGTTCCTCGTTAACGGGTAACAACTTCTTGATGGTACTGGTTGCCGTATGCACACGCTTTTGTATCCTACGTGCGTTACCTGACAAATCCTCGGATACGCTGGTCAAAGCTCTTGTGCAAATCTTTTGTGATTTTGGCATACCCCGTATTCTCCAATCTGATAATGGTGGCGAGTTCAAGAACGCATTCATGAGGAAGTTAGCAAGAAGTCTAGGCTTTCATCAGCGTTTTACTACACCTTATCATCGTAGTGCCAACGGCATAGCTGAGAGATGGGTCTAAACTGCACAAGACGTCATCCGCAAGAAGATCGAAGGTGCTGGTAGAGACTGGGACTATTACGTGCCTAGCACACAGCTTGAGTTGAACATGCGAGTATCCAAACGGTTGAATACACCTCCCTTTACGCTTATGTTCGCACGCAACATGAACGAGTTTCGTGATTATCGTGGCGACAAGATCGAGACGGCAAAACCAATGTCGGAAGAAGCGTTGAAGGAAAGGATAGAGCACATGCAAAACATTGTGTTTCCGGCATTAAAGGAGAAAGTGGAAGTATACAACCAAGCGATGAAAGAGAAGTTTGACGCAACTCACAAAATCATTGATTTTCCTGAGAAAAGCCACGTCATGGTAAGAGTGCAATCACGAGGCAGTAAGTTGGCACCTGCTTATGAAGGTCCTTACACCGTGTTACGTAAGACACAAGGTGGCACCTATGTGCTGCAGGATGAAACGGGTGCTTTGATGTCACGCAATTATGTACCTTCAGAGCTCAAGCTTATCTCCCAGGATGATGTCGTTCCTATCGATGAATTATATGAGGTGGAAGCAATTCTCAATCATCGAGGACAACCTGGTAAGCGTCAATACCTTGTAAGATGGAAAGGATACGGGGAAGACGAGGATTCATGGCTCGACCCGGATGCATTCACAGATCCTGATTTCATTTTACAATATTGGAAAAGACGCAATGAGCAAGAAGAGGATGCACCAGCTACACTCATCCCCAAGAAACGTGTACCAAAACGTAAGTTGCACAATCCTCAACCTAAACGACGCAGCAAACGCATTAAGCGTTCGTCGGCATAAATCATGTCTATCACCGTGCTGGCAAGGTCTTTTCCCTATAGTTTTTCCCACTGGGTTTTTTGAATGGGTTTTTATGACGGCGCTACAGATGCACACAAGCTGTTTATCTTTTATATGCTCTCGCATACGTTCACTCTGGTGGGGGGCAATGTCGTATTCTGGAGTCTGGGTTTGATAGGTAAAACCTAACCCAACCCAGATGACCCCTGTCAATGTTTATTTAGGAGCACAGACAGCACAAATAAAGATCTTTCTCCCTTTTTCGAGTCTCAAAGGATTTATCCTTGTTATCATTGCTATCAGCTTTATCACTGTTTTCATATCAAATTCCACAGTATGGGCTGTAAGCGTGGCTGGTGCCAAATCATGCAAGAAGGAGGAGGCCATTGAAGATTTCAAAGACGGTGCTTTGAACCTAAGGAGGGAGGAGCTTGTCAATGATAACGAATTGCTTCAGCGTTATGTGGATGAGGTGCTGGATGGCTCTGATGGCGCTGATGGTGACATACCCAAGGTGATCAAGGATGTTGTTGACAAGTATGCGAGTTGCTTTGTGGAAATTAGTGGTTTGGGTTTAGTCAAGGACGTCGAACCACTCTATTCCCACTACCACTGATAAGCCAATCCGCACTTCTCCTTACCGGTTATCATGGGAGGAACAAGATCATCTTCGTGGCGAATTGGATCGTTTGTTGGAGTTGGGTCTCATCAAGCCTTCAGATGGACAATGGACTTCCCCAATTTTGTTCGTGAAGAAGAAAGACGGCTCCTTACGGCTGTGTGTGGATTACAGGAAGCTGAATGATATCACCGTCAAGGATGCGTTCCCGTTGCCAAACATTGATGAGCTGTTGGATTCGGTTGGTGGTGCCCGGTATTTCTCGACTCTAGACACTGCATCTGGTTATTGGCAAATTCCGTTAGCTGCTGATTCAATTGCAAAGTCGGGTTTTACAACCAAATGGGGTACTTACACTTGGCAGGCGATGCCCTTTGGTCTTTGTTCAGCGCCCCAAACCTTCCAACGTGCCGTTACCAATATCCTATCTCCATACATTGGCGACTTTGTGCATGTGTTCATTGATGACATTATTGTATGCAGCAAGGATTTGGATGAACATGCTGTGCATTTGGCGAAAGTGATGGAGGCTTGTCAAGCGGCAAATTTGAGACTGAAACGTTCCAAGTGCGTATTTGGTCTTTCACAAGTGGAGTATTTGGGACACGTTATCACTGGAGATGGATTGCTGCCGAATGAGAGAAACACCGAGAAGATCATGAAGATGCCAACACCAAGGAATGCAAAGGAGGTCAAGATATGGCTTGGGACGACTGGATACTATAGGCGGCACATCAAGGGGTACGCACAAGTAGCAAGACCACTGACACGATTACTCAAGCAGGATGTGGCATTCGTATGGGGTAAGGATGAGCAATTAGCCTTTGACACTTTGAAGCATGCGTTAATCTCTCCCCCTGTACTTGCCTATCCGGATCGTAATCAAGTGCAAATCCTCACAACGGATGCATCGACTCATGGTTTGGGAGCGGTATTGTCACAGTCGCCAACGGGTGATGCAAAGGAAGAACGCGTGATTGCTTATGCATCTCGATCCTTACGCGGCTCTGAAGGACGATATGCAGCAACACACTTGGAGGCGTTGGCAGTAGTCTGGGCTGTGGAATACTTTAGACATTACTTGAGTGGGCGTCGATTCGTATTGTATACCGACCATGCTGCTTTGCCATTCATCTTCCAACAAACAAGGCCATCAGTGAAGCTGACACGTTGGGCGGCAAGCCTTATGGAGTACAACTTTGTGGCTCGCTATAGGCCTGGTCGTGCGAATCCAGCAGACGCGTTGTCGAGATTGCTACCGGTGGGTGAAGTTGACGATGTCGAGGAGTTGGAAAAAGAGGAAGGTGAAGAGTTGGAATGGGAATGAGGAAAAAGAAAAGGAACGAAAAGAGACACAAAAAAAGTATAAAAGGCAGTCAAAAAAGGATATCAAAAAAATATATAAGCGGTGGAAAAGAGGAGACAAAAAAAAAGAGCAAAAGACAAAACAAGGAAAAAAAGAGAATGGGTCAAGGAAGGACACTATGACGTGTGCCTGGGTCACTTTGTATTTGTATTACCAAACTTTGTACAACATCAAGACGTTACAACACTTTATTCAAGCAAGCTTTCAATCATCTTTCTATCACTACAACAACACACATTCAAGTTTTCAATACGCAAGTTATCATCAAGCAAGACACTATCTCAAGACTACAAGCAAAGAAGAATGGACTATCCACGTTATTTAGCGATTTACTATCTCTTAACCGAGGATCGTTTCCCTATCGATTGTGACAATGAATACAAAACGAAATTACGCAACACGGCGAGAATGTATATGGCGGCAGATGGAAAGTTGTTTAAGAAGATGAAGGATGGCAGTCAAGGTTTGGAGGTGCTTCATGAAGGAAATGCGGATGATGCTATACGGCGGGTACATGAGGAAGGTCACTTGGGCATTAACAACACATGGAGGAGGCTAAGGTTGAAGTACGAAGGGTATCAGCTGTTCGAGCGTGTACGCAATTGGGTCAAGAGTTGTGAAAGCTGCCAGTATCGACAAAGGAGAGGAGTCATACGTACGGAGAAAGCAAGGCCAATCGATACACCTGAACGTCCATTTTTTATGATTGGGTGCGACGCCGTTGGTCCTTTTGGCAAAGAAGCAACTGCACAAGGAAATCGTTACATACTTGTTGCTATTGACTATCTTACGCGGTGGCCTATTGCAAAAGCTGTACCCGATATCACGGAGACAACGATAGCAGAATTCCTATATGAGCAAGTGGTGGTCAAGTATGGCGTTCCCAATTACATCCTTACAGACCGAGGCAGCAATTTTACATCAGGCTATGTGCGTGAGTTTTTGAAGAGTATCGGATGCAAGCATATCACCACTACAGCCTATCGTCCTCAAGTGAATGGTTTGTGTGAGCGAATGAATGGCACCATTACTTCGGCTTTGGCGAAAATTGCTCGTGACCATGATGATGTCAAGGAATGGGATAAATACGTGACTACAGCAGTTTTGGCGGCAAGGACTATGGTTAACGAGTCAACGCGTTATAGTCCGGCGATGTTGTTGTATGGTTATGAGTTACGTACACCAGCCATTTGGCCAGCACCAAGGGAAGACTATGTGGAAGGCGAGTTGGATTTGGAGGTTGCTAGTCGCATCAAGGTGATTCAACACCTAGTGGATCAAGCAAGAGTGGAAGCAAGGGAGCGTACCAAGGAGCAACAACGAAAGGCCAAATTACGATATGATGCACGTGTTCAAGAGAGACCCCGTTTTATTGTTGGTGACATGGTATTGATGAGAGATCAAAGGCCAGCTGGGAAATTGGATGATAGATGGATCGGTCCAATGACGGTGGTGAAAGCGAACAGCGGTGGCACTTATTATTTGCATGGCCCAAATCGACAACGATTGAAAGGAGCAGTTCATGGTGACAACTTGGTTTCTTGGGTGGCACGAACAAGCATGATCCCTGATGTTATGGTGCAAAGAGCTGATCAACAATTCCGGGCTTGGTTGGCTAGGCGAGGTGCTCAATAAGGATTACGACAAGAAGAACAAACCATGCAGGGCTTAAGGAGGGAGGAGTGACACGGCCCGTGGTGGTATATAAGTTGGTGGCCTGCCTGGTTTGGAAGGTTGTTGAAATGGCATGAAATGAGTATCAAGACGTAGCGGAGTGATCAAGGATGATGGTGATGAAGACGAGACGTCGATATGGAGGCTCATTGTGGAGCAATTTCAAGTAGAAGTAGTTGGCGGATTCATTGGTCGGAGTGAAGTGGTAGCTTGCAGCCCATCAGCAGCTCCCTTCACCTCCCTTACACATGGCCAATGTTTTTGCATGAATGTGAAACCTTTCTGTGGCTGATCCCTTGCTGGTAAAAGGGACATCAAAATAAACTTTTTATCAGGATCGTTTTTCTTTCTCTAATTTTGTGGTTGCCTGGTATCAGAATGACGCTGTCAGAACGGTACAGGAACGTATTATTATCCATTTTATTGTATACATCTGTCAAAGGACTACCGAGCTATAAGAATCCCCCTTTCCCTTCTTTATATTGTATTTCTACCACATCTGGCGTATCACACGTATCAGGCAATCCCTTCATTTTCACACATGATGATCCCGCTAACACAATGGTATCTCCGTAACCAGGCCCCTCCAGCGAAATTTAACTATTCTACAGGTATTTTACAGTATTGAGAATGTGTGTGCAGAGCACAGGGCATCTCTAGTGTCTTCCTACAGCGAGTAGCATTCATTTAAATTTGGCCCATGATATCTCGTAATCACAATGGAGTTGAGAGCTCAAATCACTATCTCATTGGTTGTGAGGACCCAAAAAGTATGTGCAGAGCGTAGGAGCACCACTAGAAAAGAAACAATATAGTTACACCTGTTTCAGTGCTTTATGGAGGATTTGTGGCTTATCTTACTAAGTAACTACCAATTTTGAATGCAACCACGCAATCCGTCGTGCTTGGAAACCATATCGGAAGTAATATTTTCTAACTCAGTTTCCTTTTTTATCTATATACTTTTATATCTATTATATATATATGTGGTGACCTATCTTTTCACTAATCCTCATTGAGCAATGCATCATGTCTACTCATGATGTCACGCAATGTGCGGTCCACGGCTTCAACAGCAAAGCGGTTCATCATGGGTGCCTCATCCCAAACGATCAAGGCGGCATTGCGGAGTTGTTGTGCACGTTCCGTTTGCACCGAGATGGCGGAGGTTGATATCTCATTCAAATTTTCCACGGGGATCTTGAAGGTCGAATGTGCAGTGGCACCATCAAGCAAAAGAAGTGCAGCCTCACCCGTGGACGCCACAGCAATTGCCGATTGGTCGAGTCGTGTGCGAATGTAAGCGAGTAAAGTGTTGTACAAAAACGTCTTTCCAGAACCACCAGGGCCATCGATAAAGTATAAGCGTTGTTGAACACTATTGTGTTGCACAGCATTCACAATAGTGTCAAAGATGAGTCGCTGCTCCGTATTCAATGCATCAACACGACTTGCAAATTCTTCAGGTGTCATGCCGCCAGCGGCTGTTGTTGCTTCTTGTACATGTGCTGAAGGGAGTGGTTGTTCAAATATGGAGTCATCAGGTAACGAAGGCATGCCGGGGATATCTTGAAGGCTCAAATCTTGCTGTAAAAGTATGCGTCGGATGTCTCGTAGAGCCTCAGCAATGCAACGGTCCATGTCAACTTCCATGTCATTGGCAATGTAACGCCATTGGTAATCGTCACACAAACTTGCGGAGTGTTGTTCCCACAATTCCCGAGGATTAAGAGGATTGCCAAATGTCAAGATGGTGACAAAAAGTTGACGTAGCTGGTGAGCTGATGTAAAGTGTCCAATGGCTTCTTGCAAGCAATGGCGGTACTCATCATCATCCTCCAAAAGACCACATGCCTTCGCAGCATCCACAAAGGTATTGTATAGGTGACCATTTACTCTGCGTAAGTCTTCAAAGCTTCGAGGACCTGGAACCTTATGAAGCAACACACGCAAAGCAAAACGTTCAGGATCACGTGGCGATACGAATGGCATTCTACCGATAGTGTGACCTCTTTGGCGTGGTACCCAATGGTATGGCAAGGTATCAGTTTTCCAAACGTAGTGGAGGGGTATTTCAGGATAACAATATTGGCGTGCATTGGGATCACGTCTACGGAAGGATGATGATGATTAGTGAGTATTGTGGATAAATATAGATGACATTTGCATGCATGAAGACAAACATGAAACCTACCGATTAAGATCGAAAAAAGCAAGCAAAGTGGTTGGTCGATCCATAGTACGTTGAACGACTGTTTGAAGGTCGTCACTTTCATTGTAGTATACTGCTTGCTGATTTGGTAAATGCAGCAAGAGCAACTGCACAGAAGGAGAGCGCTGAAAGAGGCTGAAAGAAAATAGACGCCATAAAGCCTCTGAGGCTGAGACGTAACGGGTATCGGTATATTGCTGGATCTCATTGATGACGGCGTCTTGTTGTTGCTGCTCATGGTGTTGCCTGGTATTTCTACGCATGGAGATCAACGCGCGATCGTGGCCTTTGTAGACATACTTGTAGAGGTACTTTACAGCATTAACGGAGGAGCAAATCTGGACATTGATATGGGCATTATACTTGGTACATAAGACCACGTTATGTGGTACCACCCAACGGTTGTCAAGGGATACGGAAGCTGAGATGCGATAACGCCTGCCATTGTTGGGTCTCCTGTAGCTGGGATATCCAGATGTGGGATCCGTTGTCTCTTCAATGAAATCATGTGGGTAGCCTTTGCTGCAACGACCATTCACCATACATGGTGCTTGAGGGAAAGCTTCACCACAAGGACCATGCATCATTAAAGGTCTAACCGTTTCGTATGCTGCGGGATGTAACTCTGGGTCCGGTATCTCAGCCGAAACGATTTGATCATAGTCACGTGGGCGACGTGGTCTGCAATTGGGATCCAAGGTGAGAAGTATATGCGCATGGGGAAGGCCTCGTTTTAGGAATTCAATCACCCTGAAGTGAGCAATTGTCTCACCCAAGACATGGTTCGTCGTCAAATCTTTCATAAGCAGGTCGCACTAATGCATACAGGATTGTTTGAAAATAGGTATGGTTGATCAGCAAAGAGTAGTAATACATACAACAATGATGTACAAAAGTCTTACTTTGAGCTTAAAGACTCGATTTGTCAAGTCAGGGCGATCGGCAGCAACTTGGCCAGGTTTAAGAGCGGAAGTAATTTCAGGCCATCTTGGGTTGCATGTAAATGTGATAAAGAGATCAGGTTCACCAAGCTCACGAACAATGGCCATGGCATCTTGGTATCGTGATTGCATGTCACGTGGACCACCAGTGAAACTGGGAGGAAGGATAATATGGCTACCAATGTCTCTTGAGGTCTCGTTGCCCATTGCATCGATCACACCTTGTAATGCCTCCGAACGATACTTCTTTTGGTTTTTTTCAATATACCGAAGACGCTGCTGCTCAACCTTGATATACATGTCCACGGCGTATTGATGGAATAGGCGACCATAGTAAACCATGTAATGGTTTTCGCGATCTTGCAACATGTATGCATAAAAGCGCATAGCAGTAATTGTGCCGTTACTTTCGTCATCGGGATTGTTCTCTTGTTGTCTTCTTGTTGAGCGGCCTATTATAAATGTTGTCGACAGGCGGTGATGAGCCAAACGTACCAAGACATGGAAGATAGCTGTATAATAAGCATACCTTGTGTGGGTGCACACCAACCTTGCTCACCTCGTGGGAACATGAGAACATAGTGCAAAGGGTCATAAAGAGGATGCAATTCATCAATGCGGAGAAGCCCATGGTGTTGGCGGTGAATAACGACGTCGCGATAAGGGGTGATGTTGGAAGAGGAAATAGGAACAACAGCAGCAATTTCTCCTTTTGCGGGGCGTAAGAATTGACCACGATGGCCACGGGATGAAGATCGATCCGAATGAAAAGTGATGCTGAAATTATTATCAGGCTCGTTTTGCAACATGTCAGCAGCGCGTCTGTATATGCGAGCAAGAGGGTTTTCAGTGAACAACATCTCTTGAAGCTGCCGTGTGATATCCTGATCAAGGCCACCGTTCAATGAGCTGCGTATGTTGACTTGCTCATCTGGATCACAGATATAAATTTGCGCGAATCCAGGATCACGTTGACCAGGAAGCATCGAGCTGGCGATAGAGTGGTGAATAACCCCATTTACACGAAACGTATAGACACCTGATCTTGCGTTTGCAAGCTCATCATCAACCTATTTTGCCAAGGAAAGGAAATTTTAGATGTAAATACAACATACAATGGAAGAAAAAGATGTAATAAATACCTGAGCACCAATTGATGCGAACGCAAATGCTCAATTGTATGCTCGAATGCTGGTACGAAAAGCTGTAGAACGATCATCCTCGCCAGTAAGCAAAGTAAGCAATGGAGCTGGTGGACGTTGTGATGTTTGGTAATAGAAAATGGATAACAATGAAAAGTACGT